CAAGAATGTACTGTACTTGAAATCTAGTAGAATTTCATATTGATGAGCCAAAAAGGCGAACCCACTATGATCTCTGGTACCTTAAGTTATGCTTGACTTGGTATGTATTATAAACATTGTGTCATGCCTTTTGCAACTATTATTTTTTATTTGAGAGTTTAAAAAAGATCATATAAATGAATAGAAACTAAATAAATTGCTTCTGTAAAGTCTTGACACACAGCTGTTCTTTAGTGCTGATCCCTAGCCTAAAGGATTGCTTAAGGAAAAGGCCACATTATGAGTACAACAAAGACATAGCCTTATGAATTTTTCTTCTTTAAATCAACTGTGACGTCTTTTACCAGAATCCTGTTTCCGATCAATGTGTATACTGTTCCAAAATCAAACGTACACATTTTTCTTACTTCAGAAAGAAATACTTCAGAATTTATGAGAAATGGGAAAGGTAGTAATACTAAGACTCTCATTCAGATTTTGGTACTTTTTGTTCTTCTGTTTGTCTTTTCATTTAATACATTTAATTTCCATTGAGACAACTAAGATGAAAGGTTAAAAAACTATTTGTTGTACATAATTCAATACCAAGAGTTTTCCCTTGTTAATACTCCAGCAGAAAAAAAATCAACTTTTTTAAACTGTAAAACTTCTTTACTTTACAGTAAACCGTAAACTGTAAAACTTTAATGTATGTCATTTTATTTTTTTCGTAATTTGCTTGCACTTTACATTATGTATATTAGAGTAAGACACATTATTTTAATTTCCTTTATTTGCAGAGCTTCTTCCTTAAAGAATGTAAGAAAAATTATATCAGATTAAATACCTGGATTAATATTAAGGAAACATGTTTCCATGCTTTTTTACCCTACAATTGTGGAACACAATTTAATCAACAAAGTTAATAAATTTAGCTTGAAAGCTACAACATTCATACCTGAACTATGCTTTGGATGTTCTACAGAAATGTGTGCTACAGTATCACCAATGGCTGTGGGTTTCACAGTCCCTGCAGGAGAGTTAGCACTGATTGGAGCAGTGGTAAACCTATTCTCGGTAACACATCAGGTCACAAACATATTGCAAATCACAGGACTTGTTACTGGAATGCAAACAAATCCTGCCCAGATAGAACCCACGCCTCCAATTTAGGAATCACTCCCAATCAGATACCGAAATAACCCAGGCCTGAACAAGCACTGAACTACTGTATAGAACTTAACCTGTGTAACAGATTCCTACTGTAGAACATACCTTAGCACTACTGGCCTTAGCAAGGCTCCAATTACTTTATGTTACCTAGATCTTATTTGTTTCCCACCAATTAATTGTAAAACGACTGTCATTTTCGGCAGTCAAAATGTGATACAGTACAGTTCTTTACAATACAGTGATTTGGCAGTTTGGATTTTAGCAGCACATGTCTAAGACTGGAGGGGGTTGATTTGATTTGTTTCCTAGCAGTTATATTGACTGCTAGTTTGCTGTGTGAGATGATTTAAATTAATGAATGGAGTGTGAGTTTTCTGTTCTCAAAATACGCTCTCTATATCCTTCCTCAACCTGATGATTTGGTTGAGGGGGTTGACTTCTAGTTTTCTACAACCTGGCTAGCCATGATTTTGAAAACATTTCTCTATGTCAAGAACAGTTGTGAGTTAATTTTTCTGTCAGAAACTCAAAGTGAGGACTACTGCCTGAAGACGTACTCTATGTATTAAAATTAAATCGAAATAAGATACAGTATGCCTGGAAGAAGAACTGAAACCTACAGGAGCAGTAAGAAGTAAGATTAACAAGTAGGAGTTGGTGAAGATAAGAAAGCTGGCAAATCATCTGGGAAGTGATGGATAAATGAAGAAAAAGAAAAATCTAGAGCATTATATTAGAAAGAAATCGCATTGGAAAATTGAACTTTGTTGTTTTAAACTAGCTACAGTACATTGGCATTGACAGAAGTAAGACAAGTTTCTTTTTATTTCCATATGTTCATAATATAGTAAACACTAGTTTCTTGCTGTCACAGTATGCAGTTTGCTGCTTTTACAGCCTTTTGTCAGCACAGCCCATAGCAAATTCCTTTTCACATCTATAAAGTATTTTATTTCCTACTAAAAGTAGCACATTTAAATATCATGTTTATCTCCATTTCTGGACCAATCTACTATATTTGCATAGTGATCCCATTTTTTCCAGCCCTTGTCATATAACAGCAGATACACATTTGAATCTGACACTTCTGATAGAACTAGGTAGTATTTGTTTATCCATTTCTTTTAAAGGAATTATAGCAGTGGCTGCAATATTTACACATGATTACACTGGACCAATATCAGTACCCTCAATGTGATTAGGGAGTGGTGTCTTTAATATTATAAATTTGAGTGAATGATTATTGTAAAAATATGGTAAGAACTCCATACTACCAGATTTTTGTTTTGTATAAGACTGCTTACAAAAAGCAGGTCTTTTTTCTGCCCCATTACCCATTTAGGATTATTAGATACTGTAATTCACCCCCATTGATTTTATCCAGTTGTTTCTTCAAAGAATCCAGGGTGTCGACTTTGACAACATGGCTGGGTTACTTGTTCCATACCCCCACAGACTTTTGTGTAAAGAATGACTGCTGTTCTTTAATGCTAACATTAACTGCTCTGAAACTCTGTCCTAAGCTTTCCGGTACTGCATTTATTTCATATATGTGTCCAGTGAAAAGTTATGTAAATCATGTACAGTACCTGTAAATCACAAAACCGGAAAATTACAAAAAGAAATAAGAAACATATTTTTCTATCTAATAACTTACATACTAGCCTGGTATTGAAATCAGCCTGGCTTCCAGTAGTTTTCTGCAGATTGATAAAGTCCTGCTAAGAAGTGCTATTGAGTGAGGTGAAATCACAAATCTGGTTTTACTAGAAAAATCAGAATTTCACCAGACAACCTTTTCTAAAAATACTATTTAAAAATAAAGATTTTTTTTTTCATTTTGTCAGTGCTCGTAATGCAATATGGAAATGAGTACAGGGCTTTCATGTTTGCGTTAATAGCAATTACAAGTGTATGCTATTCTTAAAGCCAAATTGAGACTGGTCAGCACTCCCTGTATAAAAGAAAACATTCCCTTGGCAAAGTCCTTCCACCCATCCTCCCATCATGATTTCCCTTCAAGACTGCAAGGAAAGGAACGTTAACTCTGCTATCTCTCTAAGGAGAAAAGAGCTTTTCTATAAAACCAACCATGTTTCTAATCAGTTGTAAGTTATCATCTACCAGCCAGTTTCCTCTAATGTGCTTGCTGTCCTGAGTGTATATGGGTTGCATGGGAGTAAGTTAATAGGACATATGTAATCCATGCCAATTGAAATAGTCATTTTTTTAGTACAAATGTAAAGCAGAGTTTTATTGATTATTACAAATTATTCACTTTTAGAAACAAATAAGAAACAAATTAATAGATCCATCAGAAATAGTTGTCCAGTTGATTTTTTTATTCTTTTGAAAACTAGTGTGTCACTGATGAATAACAACACTGTTTATTGTGCTCATTTATATGATCATTCCCTTTAAATGATTTGGTGCAGAATAAGTCCAGATATGTTGGTCTTCTGATGTGCCTGAACAAGACTACTTTGTGGTTTGACATTCCAACTAGAATCACAGATAATGTTCTGAACTGTGGTTTTAAAATGTCATTTAATTATCACTTTGTCTATTGATGGGTTGAGTGACGAGTATGCACAGGAAAATTAAAGTTTGTTACTGGCAACTATAAAGCATAATAAAGTTACAAATGAACATTCAGCATCAGTACTTTCATGCAGGTTTCCAAGCTTGTAAATATATCTTTCTAAAAACATTTTATGTGGAAGAATATGTGTATTACATCTTCATCTAAAGGGATTACTACAGAAGGGAGTTCTGACCTCTCTTGACAACCATGCTATGCCTCCAGCTAAGACTGGTTTTGCTTAATTGCAGAGATTTACACGTGTCTGACCTGCACATGCCTGACTATTGGTAGCTATAAATTAATGTCAATTTCTAAATATACGTGGCACAAGAACCTATATTTGTACTGCAGGAGTAAAAATCCTGAATTTAAATATAACTTACTCTTTTTGTTGTGCTGCTCTTATAGAACAAAACATAGAGCCAGTGCAGATGAGCTAAGCTGATAACTTTCAGTCACATGTTTGGAGTAAATGTCATAGTTACCCTAAGGGCCTTCATTCAGCAAGATGCATCTGTTGTGTATAAAGTATATGGTTGTATGAACTTTGTGAGAAATACCAAACAAAATCTGTTTTGTAATAACGATAAACATTCCCTCTGCTTAATTTTAAGTAGAACTAATTCTGATGAATGGGTACACTTCTGTGATATTTTTCCCACTTTTTCCATAGAGTCCTTTGTGAAGTCTTTGTTTTTGTGGTGGTACAAGTGGATCTGTCGAACTGCTCTGTCCGAAGTTTGTGATGAACGTTTTACACAAAACTCTGTAATAGCATAAACCTTTTTTGGGGAAAAATACATCGCACTACTGTCAAGTAAGATACAATTAGTGAACAACAAGGCTTTTGTAAAACATTTGAGTTCAATGAAGAACTGTTCTTTGAAACCTTTCTCTAAAAGCAATCGTAGCTCAAGACGAGTTAGAAAGCCGTCGTTTGAACAAGCAGAGGAATTTTGTTCGGTTATCTTTACCTGCCTCTGTGACAGTGACACCTGCCGAAGACATCAAGGTCATTACCAGCTCATCGTATCATCCACAGGATTTCAAAGACTTTTTAGTCAGTTTAATCTGTGAGTCCTGAACTGGTGAACTTGGTCCCAGTAGAAAACCAAAGGCTAAACCAAATGTACTTTTTATGTACGCAGATAATTCTGAATATTTTAGATTATTCATATTTAATTTTCTGCATGCAAAGAAAGTGATGATCAGTAACCCTCTTGTGTGCCCTGAACACCACTGAAACAAAACAGTAGTCTGGGCTTGGGGCCATATTCATTGGACCAACTACACTTCTAAAGTTTTGTTCACTCATAAGAGCTGTTTTGTCGTCCAGATGACATAATGTCGTTCCAACACATTTATCAGACTTTGCTGTGTTAAAACCTTTATTACAAGCATACTTCTTGAAGTAAATGTTTATGTTATGAAACCAATGTTCAGGTTACAGTATGTAGAGCAATTTACTGGATTACCCCTCCTATGTTATATACTGTATTGAAGCCCTTTAACTTCTTTAGTTTTTTTAGAGATGAAGTCACGTTACAGATACAGTATGTCTCTCATTTTAACGTCTCTTGGAATTTTTCTGAAATAGTTTTTAAGGTACATTAGTGACACTTTATGTCATATTAATTCTGCTGATGTCATTCACTTTTTCCTTGAAAATGAGCTTTTCTTTTAAAGCACCATCAAATTTTGTCTAAACATCCACAATTGTACATCAATAAGCCACACTTAAAGTGAGAAGTGCAAAACTGTTTCTTTTATTTTAGGATTTTTAAATTGAACAAGAATCAATACCAAGTCTTTGTTGATTTTTTAGCCTTCTTATTAACACAGTCAGCTTGCTGTGTTGAAATGAGGATCACTGTATTTTTGTTGTGTTATTTTTCTCTGGCATGGAGTCCTGGGCGTTTTGATGAGATTTTCAATACATTGGCAGCAAACACAATTCATATTCCCACTGTTTAATATGCTGTATACATGTAAGTACCTGCAATCCTGCCTTAGTCTCATATGACACCTAGTCTTTGTGTGTTTTAGGATGCCAACTTTTTGTCCTTTTCAGAAGAGAATGGAGTACATTCTGAAAGGATGTCTTGTTTACTGCTTTAATTGTCTTAATTTAAGTGCTTAGGTTTTTTCCTGCTTTTTACGATATTTGTAAATGAAACTCCAGTGTTGGATAGTGTGTTTCCTTTCCTGTGTTGTTTTCTAAATAGGAAGGATTGGATTAATTAAAATGTTAGTTTCTGTTTAGCTTGGATTGTGTAGGGTGTATCATGTGGTTGCTCCCTTTGAGAAAATGTAAAATACCCTAAATGGTTTTTCTTCCTTTCATTCTCTTGCAATGAAAAGGAATGTCCAATTCAAAGAGACATTATCCAATGACTGCTACAAGGCACTGATTTCCGTAGTGGACAAAGCACATTAAGATTGAATTAATAAAAAAAGGGAGACTTCTTATCTTGTTTATCCTCACTGCTTTAAATAGTATCTGTCATCTTAAAAAGATGTAAAAAGATACATTTTGAAATACAAAAATCTCTCCAGGGAATGACAATGCTGTGGACAGCGTGCTCATCAGTAACAGAGCCTGCTCTGTACACTGTTGTGGTTTTAATTATCTGTTGCCGAGAAAAATGCTCTTATCTTAAAAATTGAATACAGTTTTAAAGTGTTGTTTTAAATAAGGATGTTTTAACTAATCAGGATACAGTGAACTTTAAATTGCCATATACCTACAAAAGGTACTGGGTTATATCTGAGTGCACTGCCTTGGTTCAAGTCCACAGTGTAGTGATTGTCCTCCTGGTGCTCAGAACAAACAATGTTTTATGCTGGGTGAGTGGAACTAAAGATGAAAAGTTAGTTAGCCTTAAGCTAGTGTCAGTTTGGAAAATGGTAACCTACAGCTTAAAAGAGCCCTTTGTTGATCTGAGATGGTGACGTCAAAGCAGTTCTATAAAGGCACAAATTCATATTTTAGATAAGACAACACAACATCTAAAAGGATCCTTGTGTGTTCTGATTTCATTACATGCATAACTAATTAGGTTTTGGCTTAATAAGCTGAACTTGCTAGGTTCCTCTTCTTGATTAGAATGTATACATGTCAGGTCCACACATACTCGTAGAACCTAACGGCCTGATAAAGGGAATCTTAGTGAACAGCTACGCCTATCAAATACGGAATATAAATATTGTAATATGTTGGAGATGCTTGAATATAACCATTACCAGGTGAGATTTAGCTTTTTTCTTCTTATTGGATGTTTGTTTTAAGTAAAAAGTAAGATGTAATAGTTAAAATGAATTTGTCTTCTTCTTTTGTCTTATGTTTGCTGTAATTCTGAAATGAATGTTCATTCACAAATGCAACCAGTGGTTTATGCAGAGTGTTTTCAGTGGCCAGATGGAAAAAGTAGAAAAGTTTAACATTGGTTAATTAAAAGTGTTTAGTTTTGTACTTGAAAGGTTTACCGTTCTTACACTTCTTCTAAACAAATTGTAGATTTCTTTTACAGTAAAGATCAATGTGCGACCGCCGCTGACATTCTGAAATTAGGAAGCCTTATGATCAGGACTCTGAAGGTTGACTTGAACTCATTTAAAATAATCCTGCATTATTTTCACCTGCCATGTACTTGTTTAATAATTTTTCATGACGCAGCCAACACAAGCCAAAGGCAACGCTCCTCATTGTGTTCAGCTATCTGTTTCTTTTTATGCACAGGTGCAAACACACCTTGAAAACCCCACTAAGTACCACATTCAGCAAGCCCAGAGGCAACAGGTCAAGCAGTACCTTTCTACCACATTGGGAAACAAGCTCACCAGCCAGGCCATCAGCTTGCCTTGTCCTAGTCAGCCTGCAGAGCACGTAATGCCTCCTGGACCGGGCAACAGTGCCCCCAACAGTCCTATGGCCATGCTCACCTTGAACTCCAACTGTGAAAAAGAGGTAAGCTAACATCCCTGAAATAGACTGCTGTGAACGTACATTAAGTTGCATACAAATTACCTGCATTCAGGATGTGCTCAGATGTGTAATTGAGGAAACTACAGAACCCTCAAGACAGAAAAGGGTAGCTCATCCAAAACAAGCTTGGAATGCAAAAGCACTTACTAGAGTAGAAAAGAGTTAAAGGAGGATACCGTAGTTTGAAACATACAGTGGATTATTCGAAACATACTGTACGGCGTTTTTTCCACATAGAAGAAGCATCTCACCCCCATGGACTTTATAGGATTAAGGTAACCACTCAAAACCATAAAAGATAACTTGCAAAATGTTATTTCGTTGTGAAGATGATCAGTTCTTGTGATCGTTCTCACTTCTGTTACTGAGAATGCAATTCTGCTCCTTTTAAAACTGAAAGCAACTAGTGCTGTTCGGCATGTTTGAAACTCGCCAGACTTGAATTCACAAGGTGGCATAGAAAAATGTTACATGTTTTTAGCATTATCATTCATATATTGAATAATAAAATTGTATAAAATAGCATTTAAAGCGTAAGAAATATTTTGCATAAACCCATTTTCCTTCTTAATTTCTCTTTGAAATTACTCAAGGGTCTTCAAAGGTTTCTCTTTGCAAACACTTAGATGTCTTAATAAATGTATTTGTATGTAATCAGAGAATTACACTTAAATGCAGTAATTGCTGCTCGGCAGCTAAGATGATCTGCATTGCTCTGAATGTTTTAAATACTATATATCTTAAAGAGAAAGAGAAGAGAAATTACATACACTTTGGATATAATATTCTGAAATCACCACTGACCAGGCAAGGCCTAAAGTACATTTTCTAGGTCACTCATGTAGGAAGAAGAGAAAAGACAAGGAAAAGGGGTGAATAAGAAAAGAAAGTAAAGTCCAGTCAGCAAGAACCGAGGACAGATACTGTATAAGAAGTGTTGAGACTTTGGGAAACAAGAAGGAGAGGCAGAGAATGTGCCACAGTAACTCAAAGAAACTACATGGTGTCTTACATTTGTGTATGATAACGTTTACAGCATTTCAGTACTGTTGTATTTCACTGATAGTAGTAGTACCATGTTCCTGATTATGGAATATTTGTGAAGAAAGCTTCTATGATGCAAGAATCTGAATGCAAGGAGCAAGGCTTTGAGGTTAAGATACAGTGCATTCCGAGTAAATATTTTTAAGACGGGCATGCCACTGAAATAAGGTAGAAACTATTGAATAATGCTGTAGTTATCTGGTTATCAAAAATAGATGTATATGGAAATTGTGTAATTGTAATATTTTGTTTTAGGATTAGAACGCAGCACATTTTCAGCAGGCACAGATCTGTATTTTATTTACTAGTACAGTTGTTTCCTGTCATTGTAATGTGCAACAGTAAAATGTAAAATACGGTATAGGAGAATAATGCCACTGAACTATACTGGAGGTGCGTTTTGTTTAAACACAGCATCCTCCTTGTCAGGACAGGCGCAGCTCTAAAGTCAGTCTTGTGTAATTGCAATGTGTATCAGTTGTAATAGGGTAGTTGCAGGAAGAAAAATAGCATATAGCTATTGTGCAACCTTGTCAGCGCCTTTCTGCTACAGTTCTTTCATGGGAGGAGAGAGGAATGTGTCCCAGTGGACTGTCATTAATATTTAACAGTAACAAATATGGACCAATGCCGAGCAGTTAGGGCTCTCGACTTGTAACTGGAAGGCTGTGGATGCAAATGGGGCTTTGGATAAAAGCAACAGCCAAACAAATGCGTGATAAAATGTGCCTACAATGCATTTTTGCTACCAAACAATTTGACATTATAAACAGATCGAACATCACTTAAATTGTAATGGAACATTTGCATCGGAATATTTGAATTTAAATGGAATTTGGAATTGCTTATTTGGAATGAAGGTGGGCAAAATAAGCAATTTTAGAAATGAAAAGAAAACACGTACAGCAGCATGCACTGGAAAGTCAGAATGAGAAATGCAGCATGTGAAATTTAAGCGGCTTAAATTGACATATGGATTTTGTTATTACAGATGGATGATGTAATTGATGACATAATTAGTTTGGAATCAAGCTATAATGATGATATTCTTGGACTTATGGACCCAGGGCTACAAATGGCCAACACGGTAACTCAGTTTTTCAGTCAAATATTGTACTTTTACCTTAGATTTTGCACTGGTCAATTAAAAAAAAAAGAGTTTACTAAAAACACAATGAAGTGGAGAAAAAATGAAAAAAATCACTGTTCCAATCATTTTGCAATGATACATTTGAAAAAATATACCAGTGCAGCAGGACTGCAAAAGAAATGTCATATTTTGGATGAAGTAATTAGCAAAGCACCTGGTGCTTGACACAAAACAATACCCCAGTAGAACCATATGCCCATTATATTGCAATATTGTAATAATATAACAATATAATAGTATAGCATATAGTATTGCAATAATACTGCTTTGGTCTATTAATTATGTTTGTAAGAGAAGATAAATGCATTACTGAAATAAAAACAATTTCCCGCAAGCTCATCAGTTTAACAGAGGAGATATTAAGAAGTAGAATACTACGTTTGTGTTTTACGTAACATGTGGAGCACTCTTATTTGGAGCAAATAAGAAGCAGAAACCAACAAAATGCAAGTGGGGAGCTTGACCAACAAATGCACCGCTTACTTGCCATAAGTCATTTAAGTACAATGTTGTCATGTACAGTATAAGTGACACGGGCACCTGATTTCCTGCAATTGCATGTGTATAGCATCATAAAAAATCAAAACATGAAATATTATTAATATTAGATTTCTCCACTAGTGTATGATGTCTCATACAGTGCAGACACAATGTTCTGCTCAATTCTTTGCTTAATTTATTAATTTAATTGAAAACTAAACTCATAATTTTACGGTATTTTTGTTTTGTCATTTGCAGTAAGCTTGTAATGCGTTCTTGAAGAAAAATTCCCATTTTGTGTTCAGGTAAACATACCAGGAGATATTTATTAAAACTTTTGATTCTGTTCTTTTGTTTTCTCAGCTCCCTGTCTCTGCTAATCTTATAGACATGTACAGCAATCAAGGGATGCCACCAACAGGCCTAACTATCAGCAACTCCTGCCCTGCTAACCTGCCCAATATCAAAAGGGAATTCACAGGTAGTGACAAGCATTTCTTTTCAGTCTCTTGGACAATGTTCTTTGCTAACTGACTAATTGTTGGATGTCAAAATAGTTACTGCTCAAATAGGAATTCATTGATTGTATTTATTGGTTTGTAAAATGATTTTAGTGGGTATTGTATGAAGAAAATTGTATAATAGCGATAAAAGAGACAGAAAATTAGGAATAACTACCCATCCATACACATTACAGAGTGTGTACACAAGCTCATAGACATTACAATGGGAAATAAATATGATTATTTTTCTCGCAGGGTACAGATAAAGCTGATTTCTTTCTTTGGTTTGCCTTTTGAAGTGATGTTTTATTCTAAATATACAGTATGTGCAGAAAAAGATTTCTAGTTACCGTGTGTCTGATAATTGGGCCAGTGTTTTGTTTGAAATTCTCATAATATAGCAAGAGCACTGTGAAATATTTCACCTGAAAGTGTGATACTGTTAAATTTGTGATGTCCTCTGCTGTGATTAGTAAGACAAAAATGCCAGTTTCTGAATCTTTTCAGAAAGAAACAATCTTAACACCAGGTTAAAGTAAACAAAAGTTATAACTTAGTTTGAAGGGATTAAGACATTCCTATCCCATACTGTAAGTCAGTTTATTTACAAGTTGGTTAAAATTAAACTCCATCGCTACTGTATATCAAAATCTACCCAAGATTCACAGCCCACCTAGGAAAGAATTTGTAGAATAACTGTTTTCTGCTATGACAAAAAAAAATCGGTGCTGAATTTAATATAGGTGACAATTGTAAAGACCAAAAACAAAAGAAAGATGTCTGTAGATTTGCTGTATATAACTGTAGAAATACCCATATTGTGTGCAATTGAAAACACGCTACAAAAAATATATGTACTAATTAGTTACCCCAGCTCCTGCCATGATGCATATTCTGGACAAGTCTGGATCGTGTGCCAAGTTTGAAAACTATCAAAGGCCTGAAGGGTTTCCAGTAGGTATGTTGTTATCATTTATGTTCTGAGTGTTCTAAATTTAATCATTTTATGTAAACCTAACAAAGTTTTTTTTGTAGATAAAAGCTTGGGTATTAACTGACATTTTAGAGATTGGAAATGATTGCATGTCTTCAGTTCCACATTGGCTAAACATCCCAATTCGTGAATGTGAAATTTAGAAAAACATTTTTTTATTATTTATTGAGAATTTACTTAATAAAATTCTTCATGGCAGTTAAAGCTTTTATTTATTTAAAAAAAATCTGTACAGTAAATTATTCAAAATATAACTAAAGTTTCAATTCTTGTGTACTTAACTGACATTTTGTGTTTACTTGACATGAACTTGTAAGTTCTTTTTAAAATTGACAGTTGATTTAATATTGATGACATCCTGACTAATGAACAATATATGTTGAACTACGTTTTTATTATTATTTTTATTCAACCTGTTTCTTATAAAATAGAATGCTTACCATACCAGTATGTCAACTTTCAAATTGCCCCATAGTTGGTTAAACATAAATCTGTCCCCTTTCCATCTCTGCTTATCTGCAGTAGATTTACCTAAAGGGAAAAAATCAAATTTGACATCAAAATGAAATATAGACATTTGTATTAAGTATAACTGAATGATTTCTTGCAATGCTGTTTTCAGAAATGCAATTACTTCTGAAATTGAATTTTCTGAATCAGTGCATTACTTTGTAGTTGCATTTATTTTTAAACTTTGGAAACAACATGTGTTTTATTTATTTTAAATGCGTAGCTGGATTGCTCACTAGCAGTATGGAAATTGAACTCAATATTGCACACAATATGGAAAACAAATACATCTAAAAAAATGTACGCAAAGGAACAAGTAATAGGTTTATTCCATGCTGAAAAAAAAGAAGAAAGAAAACACAAAGCTTCGGCCGTTTTTTTTGTGTTTTCTTTCTTATTTTTTTCAGCATGGAATAAACCTATTACTTGTTCCTTTGCAGCCTATGCATGCTGACGCAGCTACCCACCTAAAAAATGTATAACTAGCATATGTCAAATTTCTCAAACTCTTCTGCCCGTTATTGAAGTAACCTTTTCTAGAAGAACTGATTGAATACATTATCACTGTGGTTCTTTCATGGTGGTTTCACTAAACTACAACATAACATGGGACCTGATTCCTAGGATTAACTATCTTAACCTCCAGTAATTCAATTTTCCCACTGTTGTAAGGAGACCCCTGAGAATCACCATGGCGATTCTGTAAAATGACACCTCGTCAGGAGAGGCAGAGACAGCCTGGACTGACCTGATATTTCCTGGGTTTGACATCTTACAAAAATGTGTAAATAAAGATTAAAATCTTTATTGCCAATTGCCAATTCCCAATTGGATTCTAGTAGATTGGTGATCAAGGACTTCATCATGTTACATCTCAAGGGGTGGAAGTACATTTAAAAAAAAGAGTTTCTGTAACTAGTAAGAATTAAAACACACTATGGTTTTCCTTCCTACTCACACATTGTTAAAACTGAATTTGGGTGTTGTAGTTCATAGTAATGTACACAAAAAATTGACAACATTGCTTTTTTAAAACAAAAGACACTGCTAATAACTATTGCATATTAAGGGTTTTAGGGTGTTTGGTGGCATTAGAAAATATAGTTCTAAATGTTCTTTCTTATTTCAGAGGCTGAAGCCAGAGCCCTTGCAAAGGAAAGACAGAAAAAGGACAATCACAATTTAAGTATGTTTTTGCCTTAAAATGTTTTCTTGCTTTTTCTATATAATATAAAAAGACAAAAAGTGTTTCTGGGGAAACAAGAATATGGTGTGGTTACAAATTCCAGGAACTATATTTTGAAAACATTCAGTTTAACTTATGTTACATTTATCTTAAGAAAACCAGTACAAGAATGCATTTAATGATTCTAATATTAAATTACTAAATGCCATTACATTTAGACAATTTTTGTTTTGAGGGGTACAGTGGAAAAATGTAATTATTGTATCAAAGTCAAGGAACAGCTTGATTGCTTTTCTTAACACTACTGTATTTCAAGAAAGTTACAAACAGTAAAACAAGGAGTATCATTGAGTATGAAATTAAGTAAGGTTTTGTATAAGATTTAAAAAGCTTATGACAACATTATCTAGTAGGTTGTGCAAGAAGATTGCAGTCTGGATTTCTACTAATTTCATGTCTTGAACTCCAATTTTGTTTAGTTGAAAGAAGACGGAGGTTTAACATTAACGATCGAATTAAAGAATTGGGGACTCTGATTCCAAAATCCAATGATCCGTAAGTCTACATAAATTCGGATATATGTAGATTTTTTTACTCTTTACACTTTTTATCAGGTGCTTTTTTATTAAATCTTTTAAACGCAATATAGACTCAGACGTGGGTTTTAGGAATATTTGTTTAAAGTGATGTGACAAACAGCCTCTAAATATGTTACAAAACATTCTAGTTGCCATGCTCAGACTTGCAATGACAACAGCAATGGCTTTTCACAATCAGTTCTGTCATGTCAAGGTACTTTAGTATATCCTATCCATTTTCTAACCCCTTCATCCAATACAGGATCACAGGGGATCTTATCCCAAAAACAGGCACAGGGCTGGATACACCCTGGAGGGGATGACAGTCCATCACAGGCCACACACACAGACACCATTTTCCTAGAAGCCAGTTACCTGTACCTTACCATGTATGTCTTTATAGTATGGGAGGAAACCCAAGCTCTCGGTGAAAACACACAGAAACACGGAAAGTACATACAAACTCCATGCAGATAGTACCCCAGGTCCAGAATTGAACTCATTGCAGACTTCAGTGAAGGACTATATTGACCAGAGCATTTGTTTCTTGTTATTATTACTCTGATTGTCATCATCATCATTAGCATCATCACCGTGATTGTTGTTTTAATCTTAGGGACATGCGTTGGAACAAAGGCACCATTTTGAAAGCTTCTGTGGACTACATTAGAAAACTCCAGAGAGAACAGCAGAGAGCCAAGGAACTGGAGAACAGACAGAAGAAACTGGAGCATGCTAACAGGCACCTGATGCTTAGAATACAGGTTTGCAAATATGAATTATTCAAGGTGGTTTCTAAATACATTTTGGAGATGTGAGGTACAGTAGTCAGGGCTGCAGACTCATAACCAGAAAGATTTGGGTTCAAATCCAAAGTGAGACACTGCAGTAGTATCCTTTAGCAAGATTCTACATGAATGAAATCCTGACATTCTTCTGTCTTTTGGGTGTTGTGCTCATCCTATAGCTCTTGTTCTAAAGCAACGGTAGCCCTTGCTCTTCATAGTTGAGAGCAAGTTGTTTTTTTTCTTTTGCAGTTAATTTAGGTTGCAAAGCAAACGAGCATCTCTGACCAAACGTGATGGCCGAATTTAGAGGGTTGTGTGTTTTCAGAATCTCCAGACAAGCACTGAAACCGCTGTGATTTCTGCTTCTTCAGGAGCTGGAAATGCAAGCCCGTGCGCATGGACTGTCAGTGGTAGCTTCGTCTGCACTGTGCTCGTCTGAACTGGCAGCGAGGGCCATCAAGCAGGAGCCTGTGTTGGGAGACTGCAACCAGGACATGTACCAGCACCACTCCGTCCCTGAGATGTCCCGAACGACAACCCTCGACCTCACAGACGGCACAATCACCTTCAGCGATGGCCTGGCGAACGTCGCCGAGTCCACAGCCTACAGTGTGCCAACGAAAGTTGGTTCCAAACTGGAAGACATCTTGATGGACGACACTCTTTCCCCTGTGGGAGTGACTGACCCACTGCTTTCTTCCGTGTCTCCTGGGGCTTCAAAACACAGCAGCCGAAGAAGCAGCATAAGCATGGAAGAAAATGACCATGGCTGTTAGCAGGACAGCTTTTTTTTTTTCCTGCTACACTCTCCATATCTTATGTTAAAACTCTACTAACACCATGCCGGTTTTAGTTTTTTACCTTAATCTAAAGCATCTTTACCTGCTATTGTGAAGCAAAGCCCATCGTCTGCAAAACAAACAAAAACAGGTTCTCACACTCCAGGTTGTCTGTAAACATGATGGTGCAGCTAAGGAAATGTTTCGGTTGTTATGTGCACGCATGTAGATGTTATTTTAAAAAAAGCATTGTTTACACTGGTTTTTTAAAGAATTAAATCTCATTTGTGTTCTGTACAGGGAAACTGGCTAATCATGATCTGTGGAGGGTCAGTTCTAAGCAAAATTTGAAAGTGTGGGTTTAAAAATTTTGAACTCAAGCGGTATATATAGTAACAGTGTGCACATGAAAATAACCCAATAAAACAATGTCATTTTAATGTGTTCTAATGATACGTGTATATATCTATAGACTAATTTGGCCAGCAGCTGTCCTACAGACTGCAATATACAATGAAAAGTGAGAGAGAGAGGAAAGGACAGAGAGATAAAGTTAGTGGGCATTCATTAGAGGTCATAATAAGGTCATTTGCAAGTCAGCTTGTTGTCAGAGCTGGACAGGATTATGGGGAAGTCTAGGGGTGTGAAAATCACAGATGAGGAAACTGTGATCCATAGTGAAAATGTTAACCTCTGTAGATACAAAATTTGTCACTTCTGTTCCCAGATATGAGTGTGCCTGATTCTGGCGCTCAAGAAGAAGGCTCTAGCAGGAAACTTATCACTGCATCTCCCGTCTCCACACCCGGTGCTAATTCACCTGTGTCAAGAGATTCTCATTGCAGAAACGCCTTTGCTGTGGGACCCCTAATCGCTGAAACATTTGTCAGATCTTTGCCAGCGGATGGTCTCCACCTAGTGCATATAGAACGTTCTTCTCAGATTCTTCCCGGGTTAGGTTCCCAGCATATTGAGGTGTGGTTTAGTTTCACAACATAGCAGACCATGACCCAGGATGTGACAAGTGGCTCAGTGGAGATCACTTAGAGGTCCTCTTTGTACCAGCCTAAAAAAAATCCCATTTTGCATGTTGAAGTCAGGGCAAACTGCTTCATATCGCTTCTTGAACCTGACAAACAAGCACTGGGGAGTTTCAATCAGCGCTAAGAGAAGTTGTGACCCTCATTTTCTTCTTCCATATTCTGCTCATCTTCCTCCTCACTCAGTTGTTTGTCATTCTCTGCCTAGCCATCTCTTAGAGTCTGTTGATTTGTCTCACTGTCATTCTCTTTCTTTCCTATGGGTAGCAACCTCTTCCTCTTTATGGTTAAAGCTCTGCATGCACCCTCTGCTCATACTCTTCCAGAACCGATACGTATCTCTCTCTTTTCTCCTTCTTTTCCCTCTGCCCTTTGCCCCTTTTTTGCTCCTTTGTCACAGCAGGCTTGTCATCACCTGTGAGAGGATTGTGGGAAGGAGTCATTGTGTGCATCTGATCTGTTTCCTTGCTTCTTGATTACTGGTCATGATCAGCTCGGTGGGTGGATTGTCTGTGCCTGCACTGCTGTGTGTTCACCAGCAGAGAGTGCTGATAATCCACTTTGTTCTGTGAAGGTCTGAGCCTTTCATTTTTCACAACTTCACAATGTCAGCTGTTTTGAACACCTTAAAATGAACATTTTTTAAAACTGAGTTCTTTTGACCATTTAAAAGATAATCTCTATGAGCTTGTTAAAAGCAAATATATCTTGGCTTATATTTTCACGTACTTTTCCTACTATTTAAATTATTTCATGTTTGGTTGCACAATCATTTGATTTGCATACCCTTTCTTCATTTTAAGCAGTTATATTCAGGATATTTTTGAATTTTAAGAATGTTTATATTGAAAATACTGATATGGAATATAGTGAACCTTGTGGATTTTTTGTGCTTTTTTTAATGTAAGATACCTGCATTGTTAATAAACACTGGAAGGATGTCTAAATTCAAGGATGGATATTTTGGTTTGCTAACCAATGTTTTATATATTCTAACAAATGTATTTAGAGTTTATAAGCATACATTGTATTGTATGAATGATTGTAGTTAAATATATAACACAGAAAAGGCTTTATTGTTATTTCTACTGTTAAACATGTACAACTGTAGCAATGTAATTAGAATTATGCCTTTATGACAATAACTGTTGAAGATGTTAGATTTTGATTAGTGCTACATTGCAGCTTGTGAAAAAAAGATAACTGTTACTTCAAATAACTGTTACTAAATATTAGTTTTTAACATACAACATTGTTGTATATGTAGTTGCAGTGCATTATCTACTTTGGTGTAGAACTATGCAATTATAATTACTGTATTTAAATATATTGTGCCTATGTGTTTTACAAAGACATTATGGTGTTAAGAACAAGGTTGGAGAATTTATTTTCAAATTGTACTAATGTATTGAAAGTGGCAGAAGAGAGTTGTGTTCAGAATGAAGTGCCTTAAATTTCAAAAGTAGGTCTTTTTTGGACTTGCACTGACTGAAGAGTGGAGTGTGTTTTCCGAATAGGGATTTTGGGTCATGTATTATATGTATCAGCGGAAAGTTGTTTATAGATGTGCTACAGCTGGAAAGAGCACCAAATCTAATGATTACACTCTCCTTTTTCTCAACACTGCTCTTGGGCAGGATTTTGTAGCTGTGGCCCCAAAAATGGTTTCAAACACCCGAATGGCACAAGAAAGGGACAGCACAGCTTTGAATTATGATATTTAGATGTTTTTTAGATTTAAAAAAAAAAACGTTTGCAAAGCAAAAATGTTACTTGCCATTTTCTAAATATTTTCAGCAATAAACTTAATGGTGTCTCCCAATATGGATTCCAAATATCCTTTGGAAGCAATAGAAGTGGTTTCTTGGTTAGAGCTACCAGTCTGATTACATGGTTACATTGGTTGAACTTCTTAACATAGCCTTAAAAAAGTGCTTCGAGGAGAATGTTCAAATACCACTTTAAGTCTGTTTTATTCTTCCTTTTGTTTGAATGTGATTCAGAATGGACTGCCAAATATATTGCCATAAGTCAAAATATGCAATGCAATAGATTTTCTTTATTTAAATGTATTACATTTTGTTCTTCAAAATACAAAGCAATAATTTTACTATAGCAATCTGACATCAGAAGTAAAGCACAAAAGACATGCACTTACAGGGATTTTCTTGAATCAAATGATGCACTGGGGAGATGCCTTTTATTTTAAGAGATAGCACATTTAAGATTGTTATTTCTTGACAAAGTGACATTAAAATACTGCCTCTTGCTGAGATGCTTGGTACTGTAATGTAATTAATACTTAGTCACTGTTGACTGAAGCTGTGACCTGTGTATGATCCTTATTATTGTCTGATATGGGTCAGTGATAACATGTATTCATTGAAATTGAATGTGGAAACAATTTCATGATAGAGATATTAAAGTACATGGTTTTACACATCTGTGTCTGAGAGGGATTTGTCCTGGGCTCAGTGTGAATTTGTTTTGTAATTAGGAAAGAAAATCACCTGTCATGTTCTGAAGCCAGTTTAATACATCATTCACTATAGGGTTTGGTGTTTCTCACATTGAGGTAAATAAGTATTAAGAGGCTAAATTAAATTACTGCAAACTACTTCATGTGTTTGTTATCCTTTAATTCCCATTACCTTTCTTACTGTGGCATCTCTTTGCTAAGAACCAGCACAGTGACATTCTGAAGATAAAAAGAAGATCAAATCCTTTTATTAATGTCTGTTTTCACAAAAACATTATTTAATATGATCACGCAATTAAGTGGCTTGAAAGATAGTACACCCATACATGAAACTAAACAAAACTGTTTTAATTTAAAAAAAAACACTTTTATATCACTGGTTGGAAAACATAAAGTGTACAGTATTTCCTTTCTTCTAACATTTTTCCATCACACCCTCAACATACATATACTGTATGTACTTCATATACACTATACAGAACGCAGTTTAAGTAAATGCCATATTAAAAATCTTCAAATTTCTTCACAAGACAGGAACTTATAATTCAAGTAAAAATGTTGTGCATTACAATTACACTGCCATAATTGTTTTGTTTTTTAAATCACATCTTAAGAAATTGTTGCTGGTTACCATGCTGTACACTGTACAATCCAAAACATTTGTACAATATAAATTTAAGTTTATTATAGGTCTACAATTTGCCGTATGATAATAATGAATAATCTAAATTTAAAATGTGGACGAGCTCTATTTAAAATCATTTTGAACAATATAGAGTACTGTAGAACAATTTTTCTTTATTACAATTAATTTCTTAATAAAGTCTAGAATTTTTGTAAATGCCTATAGGGATCTACAGGAAAATATTTAATAATATTTATTTTCAAATCCTGTCCTTTCCTGTAAAAAAGCCAAAGCATTACACCTGGCACAATATCAGCTTGCTTCTGGTGGAATCATGTATATAAAGCTCGTTAAATGTTGCTACCTGTTCATATTCAAAACCGCACAAATGATCTTCACTAAATTTGGAACATTGATACAGATAGACATGTCGGGAGACTGAGGTAAGTTAACAATAGTATAATTTATCTAAAATTTCCTCATTTTCGACTTTATCGTTCTAATTTTTAAAGCTCGACAAAATGCATACAATAATACGTTCTAGCCAATAAAAATATATTTCGCCAAATATATTTGTTTCAATCAATAGCCTTACATCCCCGTGTACAAATTGCCCTAAAACGTTTGACATCTGTCATAATGTATTCTGTAACAATCGGAGAAGAACTCATAGTGAAATGTCACACTGTTGCTTTGATTTGATGTTGGTTTGTCAATGTCCTTTCATGGGCATCACCGTGTCCTCCAGCTAGTTTTTTTTTTAAAAAAGGTAATGATACACGTACAGACCACAAGATGGCATGTATTGGTGTTTTGGGGATAAAGGTTTAACTTAATAGAGTAAATTATGTATAGGGTGAGAATGTCTCATTAGCCGAGACGGTGTTTCTCTAAAGTCCCTTCAATTACATAAATGTTAACACTTTTTTAACACTGACAACAAATTGAAAGGTTTTTAATAGCTGCATTCAACTTATAATGTTCACAATTTCTATTTTGCTGCCCTTGTTTTGATGTTCTTTAGTACCTTTATTCTAAAACACAAACAATTTGAAACAATCACTGAAAGTCTCATCATACTTTGTGACCGCTGTCTGTGTATTCAGTGCTAAGATCATCACACCATTTCTTAAAGGCTCGATCCAAGACGTCATCACTGGTGTCGTTAAAGATTTCTTTAAAAAAAAAACAGACATTTAATTTGTATTTATTCCATTAAAACTGGTTCAACAGGTTTGTAAATTTATAACGATATTGGTTTGTGTGTACTTACAGATGATATTAGGCCCTTAATCTACTTGCTTGCTCAAATTTTAACACATTATTGGCTTGATTGATACTACTGAAAATATTCCAAATAATATTAATAGATATTTAATAGGGTTATTCCATGCTGAAAAGAGAAGAAAGAAAACACAACGTTTTGACCGTGGATCCTTCTTCAGGTGTTTTCTTTCTTCTCTTTTCAGCATGGAATATACCTTCAGTATTACTTGTCCCTTTGCAGCCTAATAGATCGTAATAGATATCTGTAAGTGTGAAGTAAAAACAATAAAAGGTCATTCAAAACCACAAAATCGGGTTTTACCTGCTTGTCCCAAGCCTACCGGCAAGGGCATTCTCATCAAACCACCGGAGTGTTTCAGGCGTTCACGCAGTGATTTCTTCACCAGGCTCAAGTTAAAATCTTTGTGCCAAACTGGAAGCTCTAATTTCCTCATGCACTCAATTATTCGGTTTCTCTCTCCTAGGGTTAGTAGGCCCCTTTCGTTGGAAACATACACCATGAATGCCATGTCTATGTTAACAGCTTCTCCATGCAATAACGCCGGAAGGACTTTCTGGGAAGAAATATAAAATAGATATTACTTTCACGGAAATTACTTCCAATAAGATTTACGTTGGCATACCATTAAGGGCAACAGCTGGAGTTAAATGTTTATGAGAGCACATGCTTACTTAACACGACATTACAGGCATGTAAACGGGCATGTTCACCACTCTTAAAATATCCATGAGGCAACACACTAAAAAAACACCGGCGTTCTTAATTTAGGCTATATCAGTTTACTCTACTTGCATGAAAGTATTTGATGTCCATAGACATATTGTGTAATATATCTAGATGTTATGTGGTGACAAATACCAATGACTGGTACAGACAGAATGCTTACTTACTCTATGAAAAACATTTTCACCTTGCTGCCTTGTACAGTATGATATTTGAAGTTAATATTCAGTTTTCAAGAAATATCCATGACTTGGTGATTTACCATTTCTAATTCTGGACTTATTAGATGACCGAAGTCCACCAAGCGATCCAGATCATCTTCCCACAAGTTGGGGGCCAGCTCTTCCAGCATGGTTTCAATTGCGATCCTTGTAGTCATTGTGGCAGCATTCCTGTGATCTAACAAACCGTTGCTGGACTGAAACTTGGAATCTAGCAGGAATCTGCCGTGGCTGTCCAGCATCTCAAACAAATCTTTGTGTTTCATAAGTGCCATCTGGGAAAAGCAAACAGAGAAAGGGGCGCATGGTACTGCCATTAAATGCAAAACAAAATGTTTTTCCGTATCTCACCTTTCATCATACAGTTCAGTTCCAATGCAACGAGACACCATAAGAACAGTATTTTCCCTGCCCTGTCCATGATATTTCACAAGTATTTGTTGCATAACACTGCAGAGCCCAGTTATCATCACTTACACCCAACTGGTACACATTGTTGTTTTTTCTGTCAACATTATTTTGGCCATGATTTCAATGACTGGCCGCATGCAGACTTCCTGCTTCTCCAGGATGCGTGGAAACCCTATAAAGTTAAATAACCTGGAATCCCACCCTTGCTGCCTGACATAGAAATATGATCTGTAAACTAATTAAAGCGGCTCAGGTGTCAGGGATGTCAGAAGGGACGAACCATGGAAAGGCAGGAGAGAGGAAAAAGACCCATATGTAAAGCAGCAGAAAGGGGGGATAGTCTGTGCTCAGCAGTTCAGGAGTCATATAGAAACCAATGCCCTCAGGCAGCGGACATGGGGCAACCTGGATGCTATGCTGGTCTCAGGACATCCAAACGTCAATGCTGAGCGAAGGTGAATCGGAAATATACGGCCCCAGAGAGAGGGACAGCAAAGCACAGGAAACTAGGGACAGGACAGAGTAGGAGCACCCTCTGGCTGCAGAGGGTGTGACATCAGAAAGAAAACATCACATTTAACTGGGAATTTGCATAGCTGTTTGCTTAAAGAAATCCAGTCAAGCTTCAGGCTCCTTTCTTAACTTTGAAAGACCAGAGGTTCTAATTTAGGGCAGCGTCTTTTTCCTTTATCTCTGATCCTCAGTTAAGTAAGGCTTGATATACTGTAGGAGGAAACACTTTATTATTGACTAATATAAAACGTTTCCATGCAAGAAAGTTATCCCTGGTGTTATTATTTATTTTAACCAATTGATATATTATACTTTTAGAGACTAAGGGGATGAGTGACAGCTAGAACAAATAAATATATTTTGTTACATGAACAGAACAGCTTCTTTGGGGTCTCTGCAAACCCAAATTTCTGTTTGCTGTTACAACAGAATCTGAAAGAAAAACATAGCCCTTGTTTAACTCAAGGGTCAAAACTTAAAAACACTCCTCTACTGTGTATTTCTAGAGGTTTCAAATAATTATGTGACTATCCAAACATGCTGTATTGTTGAACCCAACCTTCTTTCAAGAAAGGGCTCAATCACTCTCAGGTATTTAGAAACCAAATGAGCTGGAAGAGCTGAGCAAACTCCTCTCATTTGTAACCTTTCTTGTGTTCTTATAATAAAATGACTGAAAAGAATGACTTTATTTGTTCAAGTATTTTGTCTTCTGAAATTCAGATTTTATATTTGTAAGGGAAACTATACAATTCAACCGGAGGCTTTTATATTATTAGGACTAATATCAAGGAGCAGCAAGAACCTGCCACCATGAGTGGACAAACTGCAGAATGGTTTAAGAAGTACGGTGCAGATCGTTTTACTTTGGGAATGGGAAGCACAGCTACTGTCCCACACAATGGCAAGTCATTGAACAGCGTCTTGTATTTCTTTATAAGACACTCCCCTTATCACTGATCCCATTGCCTTGAATCCCATAAATACCTTTAACATCTCTGCCAGACCGTTGGAAATATGTCGTCGAGGAACAGTTTGGATAAAGGACCTATCTAAGAAAGCTGCTGCTGGTGGAATGTAGCTGCCCAACTTATTTTTGCACTTTGCAAAATTGACACCTGTCTTGGCTCCCACACTAGCGTCTATGTAAGATAAAAGAGTAGTTGGGACACGAATGTAAGGTGTGCGTCTCCTATAAAGAGAGGCGGCCAAGCCGACGATGTCTAGGCACACCCCTCCACCTACGGCAATAATAGGCTCAGTGCGCCTGTCAAGTCCAAATCTATGAATCTCATCCAGGATTCTCATCACCAGCTCCATGGACTTGTTCTCTTCAGTGGTCGGGAGGGGAAGGATTTTATAGATAACATTTCTCGCTTCAAAGTAAGCAATCACTTCAGAGCCGTACAGTTTGTTAACAGTCTCGTCAATGACAATAAAGCGCTTGACCGGCTTGGTGCTTCTCTTGATGTGCTCCAGTTCCTGTGGGTCTCTAATGTGACCAGTGAGCAATGTATCATTATGGGGATCAAGCAGGTTCTGTGACTCAACCACTTTGTAGCTGAAGTAGATAGGGCTGACAACAGTCCAGGAAACTCCATGCCCAGTAGCAGATTCGTAGCTGTAACCAATAGAAAGTTGCAAACATTAGAAGACTCCAACCCATCATTAGAACGTATGGAATGCACCAATAATTGCTCTAGGATAAAACTTGCCGTAACACATTCCCTTCATTGAAGAATGAGGGCTTGGCTGCTCTCTGCTTTTGAAGGGCTCTGGCAAGTAACAATGTTCAACAGATTCACTGTGAGAACCAACTGATAATAGTTTTGTAATTGAACTATTGGATCATAAATCTTAAGGGGTAGGATGGTGAGTGTGGGATTACTTTAATTATGGAACCAAGTAAAATAATACTTGATAAGGGCATATGTTATATTAATGGCCATTTAAAAATGTCTTAATGCAAAACATGTTTGCAAGTAAATTACTCCTAACGATTTATCATTTTCTTCTGTAAATTTAGGTTCAGAGAAGGATGAGTGAAAGCCAAAACTACTAGATGTTATTTTATTAACATGGACAAGGCAGCTACTCTGAGATCTCTGTACAATTAAGTCTATTGCTAATAAATGTTTGTTCACTTCCAAAATGTCTGTTTAGTAATATAATAATATTAGTATTATTAGCAATAATAATTTAGATGTTTATCCAGAAATGCAGTTCACAATGAATAGAACCAGATAAAAAAAAAACAGAAAATCGCCTTATGTATGGCCTTTCATTTAATTCAAGGTAAAATCACTCATCTCCACCTACAGACTTTTTAACAATTGAAGAGAAAATCCAAGCTTACATACCACCCAGGATTAATGTTCGAAATCTTTACCAAAACAGACAAAAGAAACAAAAAACAATATTAGGGTCAAGGTCAAAAGGGTGTCATTTTAAAGCAACTAAAAGCATGCTTTACTGTCAACTTATCATTTTAAATTGCTCTGGGGCTCATAGCTCTATCACCATGCACTAGCCTATCATATGACATTGCAACTGTAAGAGGTATCTGCCTGAGGAGGACTTTTTTAAAATATAATTGCTCACCGACATCTGGTGCTTAATAAATGTCACAGGGATTTTTAAAAACTTTTAAGAAAAACTGTACATGTGCCTAGTTATATCTATTTTTTTGTCTGTTGTGTTGTTTGTGTATGGTCAAAAATATTTTGGTGCACCAATTATACCAGTTCAAACTGCTTGTACAGTACATGAAATGTACTCAGGGAATAAAAGTTATCCCAATTCTGCCAGAATTGGCTTCAGTCCAAATGTCAGATTTTATAACTTGCTACAGTACAGTATGTTATTTTTTTTTTCTCAGAAAGTCTCCTGAAAGACTATTCGGATTTACTGAACTGAGAACTGCAGATTCCAAAATATTAAATGTAATGTGTTTGATACACATTTTATAGTTTAAAGAAATATTCATAGACATAAATAAAAAAAAAACACAATCGTGAAGCATTCCCATGGCTCTTCTTGGGTAACTGCGTTTCGGTAGGCTCCACGGATTTGAAAGTTTGATTACATTACAGGAGACGAGAACCTGTTTCCTTGTTTTACCAGTCTTTCATATCTCATCGCAACTTTGCTCAAACACACTGGTTTTTTTTTCTAGGATCATCCGTCCGCATGCCCTGTTCTGGTATGATATAACCTATTGTATAAATCTATAAACCTATAAAACTATAAGTATATAAATTACATAACCTAAACATATTTGCAAAGTGTGTATTTACACGATTTCAAACAGATGTATTTATTGAAATGTGTATTTATTAAAATATGGCTTTGTAATAATATAGCCGGATTTCACAAGCTTTAGGGCAAAGAAGAGCGAAAGCACAGGTCTAATCTTTATCCCGTTTTGACTCTACATAACTTACCTTGGGTCATTTGAAACTAGTTTAATAAATGTTACAGTATGTATTCCACTGCCACTGTATGCATGTACTGTAAATGCCACTGTATTCATATAACGATTCAATTTTTATTTAAAAACAATACACTTGATACTTACATTTTAGCTTCTGAAACGTGACTGTGGGCATTCAGACCTCCCGTCTTGCGGACCCAGGTGTTTTTAACCTGTACCAGGTTGAACTCGGTGTCTTTAGACATTTTGCCGTTTGGTGCATCGCCTTTATTTTTGCTCATCTCACCTGCGTTTGCAGCGGCTGCAGCGTCAGACAGCAAACTAAGTGGCATTGCTCTAGCTAATTTTAAGTTTGTGACTTCACGGACAGGGTTTGCAGGCAGTGCAGAGTCTACAAACCTGACAAAGTTATATATATCTACCTTCGGGGGTCAGTTCTAGGTGTTAGGGAGGGACTTGCATCACGCCTTTCGAGAGGGTTGTGTAATTTAAATCAGGAATGCAAACTGTACGTTACACAAAATGGTATGATTTTCTGGGATAACACCCGTGAAGAAGTGATTATGTGTATTATAAAATAAAGTGAGCTAATAAATAATTTTAAAGTGAGTATATTTTGGCCATTTACCGTATACAGTATGTACAGTATGTTTAAATTAGGACTGTGCATTAATTGTGCTGGTAGACAACCAGCGTTTTGTTTTCATTGGGTGAATAAGTATGTCTAGAGTATCTTATTGAAAATGGACATATTGAAGGAATGATGCGCTGTGACACCCAGTGAAAAACTGACCAGCCAGTGTAAAGTCAGGGGTGTTTTTTACACTTCCGTATTCTGCGAAGGTGCTTTTTCTGTCCTCATTCATTAAAGCAGATCTCGCTGAAGGTTATCATTATTGAGTAACTGCACACCACGAACTACAGAGATCTTTAGGTACCTTTTCACCCAGGAGCTAAAACCGGGACAATCTGTAAATGAAAAGACATACTGTACACCCGGCGCCCTGTGACAGCCTGAAGTTCGTGCGATCACCGCACACACAAATGCGCTATTGAATGCATTGCATTGCACACAGGAGTGCAACAGCCCAACTTGTATATTGATTAATACCGACTCTTTGTTTTTCGTTCTGCTTTTAACATTCTTAATATACTCTGCTGGGTCCATTTTAGCGGTGAAATAACTAAAACCTAGCTGCAGGAAATACCTTTTCTTTAATTTCTTCTGCTGTAAATTCTGATGTAATTGTTTTATGTAATATCACCCATCTTTTGTTCATGCAGTCACGTTGCCTAGAACTACAAAGAGCTGGAATTTCGAGTTTTTCAACTGCTTGTGTAAGCTCAGAGCTGTCAATCTAAGCGCTTACACAATTTAAAATTTGCTCTGATAGGCGGGACAGCCCAGCTGCCGCGCCGTCCATTGAAGTCCCAGGATAGGATGCGTGCCACGTGTTTCCGTGCCAAAGCTACTGGGGTCGTTTTCTTCTATCAGCATGCAAACGTCAAAAGGTAAGAATTCTCTTTATAACTCTTTTACTGTTATAGCTGTGCAATAAAGATGAATTGGGGGAAATGCAAGCTCAGGAAGGTAGTATGTTAGTCCTTGCGGACAGCGCAGTGCTTTTCCGTCCTGAAAGAATAAGATCCAGTTAACTGCATATTTGCTCTCCGGATAGGATTGCAGAATGAATGGTCCTGCACTTTCCCTCTTAACGTTTCTTTTTCGCCACACCAACTTTTTAGAGTCAGACACCTGTCAGTATCACAACCCTGTTTACACCCTTAGCTTCTGTTCCCGAGCTGGACTGCATGCAAGTTGTTTCCCGAAGAACTTCCCATCCGAACTGTGACTCCATTCTCTCTGCCCTTCCACCAAAACCACAAACACTTCGCTTTCACATACTGATTCAGACAATGCTTGGATTCACTAACACTGAATGAACATCTATATTTGCTATTATTATTGTGTGGTAAAATATTGTTACGCATCCTTAATTTACTATACTGTTTCGTTCAGTGAATTTCAGTACAATTTAAGAGCTTTTGGAAATAATCAGATACTATCCAATTTATGTCAAGTAAAGACGAAAACTGCAAAGTGCATTACTTGCTATTGCTTGCGTGGAATGCCAGTAAAAATAATTTTTAAAAATGGAAAAAAGTGAACTACTGTTTTAACATATGCATGCGGTAAATTCGGACAGGGGAATAAATTGTGGCAACGTTAAATAGACACAAAAAGGGACAAATGACTCCACAATTAAACATGAACAATGCATGAACATTTTAATAATATTACAAACATTACAATAGGGATAATATAAGGTTAAAATATGTAACATGTAATATACCATATATAATATAAGGTAAAACGTAAATAACCTCGGTATTCAAAGATATTGAACATATTGTAACCCGTTGCGTTACAATATTAAAAGATTAAAAACATTTGTTGATTTTGTTTCTTATTCTTAAAGATTGTAAGAATCAATTATTTATTTCACCATTGAGGTAAGAAAAAATCATGAAACTAACAAAAGGCTAAAAACAGTAATCTCACAGAACAAAATGCTGTTTATTATATTAATAAAGAACATTTTAAAATATGTTTTAAACACTTTTCAAATTAAAACTTTATTAAAGCCATTACTCCAGACAAAATATTTAGCTTGTAACAACTGACTTTGAAATTATTCAAGTGAAACAAGGTCATAACTGTTTCGCCAGGTTGAAATTTTTACAAAACAAAGTTTCATAAATTTGTGTGAATATGTAGTCATTGTAAAATAAATGCCAAGGGTGGTGAGGTTTGAAACCAGTTTAAAGTTGGCAAAACTGTAAAGAAACAGAAGCAAATAACTTGACTTAATTTAGTTATTAAATTGCATCTGGTTTTAACACTCAACATTTTGTAGAATTTAATTGGTATCATCATTCATAATATACTGTAATTAAAAACTTAAATAAATTAAAACTTTATTGAAGTCATTACTCCAGACAAAATCTTTAGCTTGTAACAACTGACTTATAATAAAAAAAGTGAAAAAAGGTCATAACTGTTTCCCCAGGTTATAAAGGGAGTTAATTTAGTTAACGGGTTTCTAGTATAAACAGAAAAATGCTTATTTGTGCCTTTTTGTCTATTTTGTTTTTATAGCACTTTCCATGTTAAAGTGATTTACAAATCTAGGTTACTATGAGCACTATATGAGTTACTATAATTTTACTGTATACAGTATGTATTATTGCCTTTCATGCATGGAATAAACCTTTACCTGTTCCTTTACAGCTTACGCATGCTGATGCAGCTACCTATGTGAAGATATCTTTGAGCCCCTTTTTGAAACTAATGACATAGAATAGCATGGGAAGTGTCTTATTAAGTGCTGTATTTGTTTGACTATGAGTCAGATTATCTACTGTACGTCCTAAAATCGACTTCAGAGTGTTAAAGAGTCAAACACTGAAAGCTTCCATACACAAGATTAGTCTTAGCTATTATAACTTGTCATGGAAGTGTACTGTCATGTCGGACAGTTTTCAGTCATGTCCTCACAAATAAATGATTTTTTTTTTCCCCCCAAGACTCGGTGGCATGGTAGTGCAGTGGTCAGCACTACTGCCTCGCAGTGCTGGGCCCTGGGTTCAATTCTCACCCTGGGGTGCTCTCTTGTGTGGAGTTTGTGTGTTCTCCCCATGTTTGCGTGGGTTTCCTCCAGGTGCTTCTAGGAAAACTGGCCCCAGTGTGTGTGTGTGCGTGCCAGTCTGTGTTTGTGTCTGTGTGCCCCGTGATGGACTGGCCTCCCATCCAGGGTGTATCTTGCCTTGCACCTGGTGCTTGCCGAGATGGGCTCTGGCTCCCCCTATGTCTCTGTATTGGAAGAAGTGATTAGAAAATGGATGTGTCAGACTCCGCCGCACCAGCTTCAGAGCAGGGAGCTGCATTAGCATGTGAACAATAAGCACCCTGGCGTGTACAGTGGCTATAAATGGCAGGGCGCTTACAGTTCATGTGGTAATGACACAAGAAGAAAACTACCCTACAGTTCCTCTACATACTGTAAGCTTGAACCTGAGTAAAACATGTCTCAACTACCCATGTTCTCCCCTGGAACAGAGGTTTTGTTCTGTTAATATTCTCGTCGTAAATCATGCTTTTTTAAAAATGTCCCTGGGATATAAATCGATCTCTTTGACAGTTTCGTAAAAGGTATAAATGCCTTAAATGTCTGAACAATGATGAGGTGTGAATCCACTGTTCTCCCTGAGGGGTCCCGAGTGGCTCAACCGGCTGGTTCAGGGATCTTGAGTGGCCCTAGGTCTTTCCTAGCTGTAACTGACACGTTGCTGGGAGATTAAGTTGGTCAACTGGGCTTGAGCCGACCAAAGTTAGCCTGATTGTGCAGCAGTGCCCTCTGTGAATTTTGGGGCACTTGCAGGGGTGTCAGCGAGTACCCCTCTCCCAGATATGTTAGCAAGCTCTATGGAAATCAAAAACGTGGGCACTAATCGCACACGTTTCAGAGAGCAGTTTGCACCACTCCCTATCTGTTAGCAGTGGTAAGCAGTGTGGATTATCAGTTGAGATTCCAAGATGTGACCTACTGCTAAAAAAAAAAAATTCCCTGTTCTAAAACCAAACTTCTGTTCGGTTTGTTTATTTGATTTAATGGTTCACTCATGACATTTTTAGGGAATAGTATGAAAAGGTTTCCAAACAGTGGGTGTGAAATTAAACAATGATACAGATTCCTGAGTCAAACATTCTGAAAATGAGTGAACATGTAATCTAGGCATTTGCACCTTCACTTTAGTTTAACATCCTTCGGATGAGACGTAAAACCGAGGTCCTGACTCTCTGTGGTCATTAAAAATCCCAGGGTGTTTCTCGAAAAGAGTAGGGGTGTAACCCCGGTGTCCTGGCCAAATTCCCATTGGTCCTTACCAATCATGGCCTCCTAATAATCCCCATCTATGAATTAGCTTCATTACTCTGCTCTCCTCCCCACTGATAGCTGATGTGTGGTGAGCGTTCTGGCGCACTATGGCTGCCGTCGCATCATCCAGGTGGATGCTTCACATTGGTGGTGGTGGAGGAGTCCCCATTACCTGTAAAGCGCTTTGAGTGGAGTGTCCAGAAAAGTGCTACTGTATATAAGTGTAAGCAATTATTATTATTATTATTATTATTATTACAAAAGAAAGATCAATTTTAACACATGCAGCCCATAAAAAGAGACTTAGGTGTGAACACTTAATTTAGGAGCTTTCCTGTTCGTGATTAATGAGTCAATGGAATATACAGCATCTGAAACACATTCCCCAAGACAAAAAAAAAAGAGGGCAGCTGTAGGAGGTTCAAGTTCATCGAGTTCATTTGCGAGAAAGTGTGTGTGCGCAGTGCCATCTTGTGGTCAGGCGTAAGTATGGCGCACATTGCGAGAAAACGCCACAGACTTCTCGGTTGTGAAAATAATTTTAAATTGTTCTCTCGAAGTCGTTGCTGAAAGAGAGAACAGTATAAATACTTTATTCATAAAGCATTAACAGCGTGCTAAGGGTAGACCTTTTGTGTCAGATGAGGAATGAAAGTAAATTGTAAACAGTCCAGTCCTGGTCTTGGAGGGCCGGTGTGTCAGCAGGGTTTCATTGCATAACATTTAATCTATATTTTTTAATGGGCTAAATTAGCTACTTACTGGCTTAATTGGACCAATTTAACAGCTTCTCCTAGTTCTTTAAGTGCTCCAGGACCTAGTCCTAACAGTTCTGTTGAAAAGCATCATAGTAGATCTCTTCGGATTGCCTCTTAAACTACAATGCATTCTTTAAAACGTCTCAATTTTGATTGTGTATCATAAGGCTTTTAACTAAAGTCAACTTCTTGTGCTGCAAAACGTGTTCTTTATAATGATCACAAAATGCTATTGGGATCTCACCCTACTTGCCTGGCTAGGTTTTAAATTATTTATCGAGATGGCCAAATGCCAGGCCAAACTACAGGCTTGACATACGTAGTTAGACCTAGCCCTAAATCATCATGTTTTGACTTGGTGTTAATTAAAACATTTGGCAAACCGTGCAGATGTGTTATAAACAGTATGATGTGTGTAGTTTAGTTTTTGTAATTCTTTTTGTTTGATATTTTCTCATAAATTACATTTTTACCAAAACAAAGCTTCATAAATTTGTGTGAATATGTAGTCATTGTAAAATAAATTCCAAGGGTGGTGAGGTTTGAAACCAGTTTAGTTGGCAAAACTGTAAAGAAACAGAAAGCAAATTAGTTAATTTAGTTATTAAATTGCATCTGGTTTTAACACTCAACATTTTGTAGATTTTAATTGGCATCATCATTTATAATAGTTTCTTGTTATTGAGAAGAATGACATAAGGATTCTATAATTTGAATAGAGAAGGAATTAGGTTGATATTTTGGATATAGTATTGATTGGAATAATGCATACTGGTGCTTCTGCTTTCTGATTTGAGACTGTTACTGTTTCTTCAAAAAGAGACAAGTCGTATCTTATATCTTACATTTGTTCTTTTAATGCTTTGCATGTGTTTTAGTATCAGATACACCCTTGGAGTTTGTAGTGGAATACTTGAGAAAAGCCAAAGAGATAGCAGATGGCATTCCAACTCTTCCTAAAGAGCTGAAGACTTGTCTACAGAAGGCTCTGGATATTTCGTATGGTCTAGACATGTATCTTGAGGAAATGACCAGTCATGAAAGTGAACAGCTTGGTGAGCTTTACAGGTATTTATCCCAGAGTCTATTTACAGTACTGCACATGTTTCTCACTGAACTTTAATACTTGTATTAATGCATGCTTCATTGATGTAACTTGTTGGTATTATAGGAAAACAGTGGCATGCGACTGGAACAAATTGCACCAGGATGGAAAAACATTGTTTAACCTTCCCAAAGAGTGTATAACTGGTCATGTTGAAGGTAAGACGCATTTGATCTCCTCCTGTTTCCATGCTTAAAAAATGTCTGTTGTGCAGCTCCCTGAAAGTCTTAATTTAAAAATGACTGTTACTCTTCTGGCAGGTCAGGTCCTGAAGACACTTGTCGAAATAACGAAGGCTAAGAGAGTCTTAGAAATAGGCATGTTTACAGGGTATGGAGCTCTGTCAATGGCCGAAGGCTTGCCAGAAGATGGCACTTTAGTTGCCTGTGAAATTGAACCTTATCTAAAAGAATTTGCCCAGCCTATATTCGACAAGTCCCCACATGGCAAGAAGATAACCGTGAAAATTGGGTCTGCTATGGATACCCTAAAGGTGAATTTAATTTTCATGTTTGTCTGTCTAAGTCCTCCTTTGCGTGATTGAAATGGTAAGCTTGCCTGTGTGGTTCAGCTCAAGCAACTTTTAATCAAAATCCTTAAAACATGACCCCCCCAATGCCAGCTAACTAAAGCTTTTCCAAACAAGACTTCTCATTCATGTGGAACGCTTCACCATTCCTGATCATAGCAAACGGGGTGTAAGAAATGAGACGGTTGTTAGACACTGTTTTAACTGGTGCCTGTTTTCTTATCTGTGTGTCCATTTCTAAAAGAAATTAGTTTTGAGGTTCGTGCTGGCACAACCCCGGAGGTTAAGCTGCAATTTGAATTCACGTTTGCCTTGCCTGCTCAGTGGCTATGGGTTGTGCCGACAAGAACCCACCTTAACAAAGTCAAGGACTTAGGTTTAGCACTACACTGAGTGAATAAATTATGCATGAAATTTGCTGGCGCCTCTGGTGTGCAAAATTGCTCCTTTGAAATAAAAGGTTAATTCAGAAAGGAGTCCAAAATAGCTGGAAATTGCCGGGATAAGTAGATAGTATTTTTTTGCTATGAGCTGTTATTATCAGAAATTGCATTTTCTTTCTAGTATCCCTTGAGAGCCGGCTACACCAGGGGATATAAAGAGTGCTCAGTAGTTTATCATTTATGACTACAAAGAGCTTTGTGTGTGTGTTCTGGTTGTAATATAATGAAATAGTTGCTAGAAGACAAATTATTATTATTTATTTTTGTGTTCACGTCTGCAATCTATTACATTTAGCATTCATCCACAATCTTGCATTTTTAAGCATTTTATTTCCTTCAGTTGTGTCTTGAAATTACTTGTTTGGATTTGATATTTTCTTTTCCTTTTTTATTAAAAAATAAATTGTACAATTAAATATATTGGCTATGTATCATATTCTGTCTCACCAGTGTATTAAATGGTTCCACATTTATTCTGTTATCAATTTCTAAATGGTAAGCTTAGTCACTGTGACTTTAATACCTTATATTTCTTGTGGCTTAATGGTACTTTTAATATATTGAAAGTTTTTTCTGTTCAGTGTGGATATTAGCAAAACTTTGTTGCAAGCATTAGAACTTAGTTCTGGAGCCTTGATGTTTTACAAGCAGCTGAAGAAAACATTCTTTTTTTTTCATTAGAGTTTTTAATTATCCACAGAAGCAAGAGAAATTCAAAGACATTTGATTCTGCTTGTGATCTTGCTCATACCCAGTTGTTTCTGGACAAAATGTGGAAAAGAGTAAACAAGCTCATACTGATTTGACATAAATCCATTGATGTATTTTAGCACAGCAAGCTTTTAACGGTCTGTCTTTTTATGAGAACCTATAGAATATATTGTAACCACATTACTTAGTATATTTTTTGTAAAGGAAGGGTAGTCTACAAAGTAGAGGAGGTCATTCAGGCTGAGCAAACACACAACAGCTACCATTTAATATAGGCAAATTCAGATCGCTCCACGCATAAAGTATAAATATAAAACAAGGATTGAGATGACAGTGAGCTTCAAAAAGCTGTGAAAGGTGTTGATATTGCCCCATCTTCTAGAAAATATGGGGAAGCAACATAAAAGACGGACAGCATGTTAGGGTCCATAGCTTAAAGTCTAGAATAAATAACAAAGAATAAGGTAAAATTGTACAATGTATTACTAAGATGTGATTTTTGTAATATTTTGTGCAATAATGGTCACCACTAATATAAAAATATTGCTGTTCTACACTCAATCCAGAGCAGAGTGACCAGGTGTATTCCTGGCCTTAAAAGAAAGTAAAAGACCGTAATTTTGTAAGAGAAGTTTTTAGTTTCGAACAGAGACAACTAGAGTATATTCCGAATATTCAGAATCGTAAAAAGCATTGAGCAAGTCACTCCTGCTGACTTTTCAGAATAAGTCAGAGGACACAAGTGAAAACTAAGGGGAAGTGCATTTGAAATTGAGGTGCATGTTTCTGCACTGCGGTTTGTGGGAGTCTGGAACAAGCTACCCAGCCATGCTGGAGAAACGACAGGATGAGATCCTCCAGTATGTTACGTAGCTACAAAACACAAATGAGTTTGATGGGCTGAGTGGCCTGCTCTGGTCTGTAACATTTCTTATGTTACTTTGGTCACTTTTCTGAACTCACATAACAGATACCTTCTAAAAGAAATTCATTGTCACGCATAGTCAACTCTGACCTTTTCTTTTTGAAGGAGTTAGCAGCTGCAGGAGAACAGTTCGACATGGTGTTCATTGATGCAGACAAACGCAACTACATTGAATATTACACCTTTCTCCTGGACTATAATCTCCTCCGGATGGATGGCATGATTTGTGTGGATAACTCTTTGTTCAAAGGCAGGGTTTATCTGCAGGATACAACGGATGAAAATGGCCTTGCCCTTCGAGAGTTTAACAAGTTCATACAAAATGATTCCCGTGTACAACAGGTTAGTATAGAAGGCCTCAAGAAAATTTCTTTTGTGGTTCTCTGAGTTCTACCTGATTTCGTCTATGACCAGTATGACTAAACACTGGTGCTTCAAGGATGTATTCCAGAAATTGGAGTTTTCATTCAGATGAACTTTCGGCCAAATTTTTATTGGCATTTTCTTTTCCATTTTATTTTTTAAACCTACGTTTAGGTTTTACAGTGCCGGAACATTTAATGTTATATTATCCAGCCATGCTGTGTCCTTGCCAAATGAATATGAGCTGTAATTTGCTTTAATAATCCAGCGGCGTCTTAGATGGTTGTTGTTGTGTTTAATTAGAAATGAAATATGAACTTTACAGGACAGATTTCTTGTTCATAGGTAACATTCAGGTGTTTCCTGCTTAAACATTTGTCTGTGATATGATTATTTTATTAAAAGAATTTGTGACCTAATAAATACAGGGTTGGGTGGTGCAGTGGTCAGCATTGCCTTGCAGTGCTGAGGCTCTGGATTGAATACCGGACCTGCAGTGCTGTCTATGTGGAGTTTATATGTTCTCCCTCTGTTCATGTCAGTTTCCTCCACAAACTGTAGGTTAATTGACTTCCTGGAATATTGGCCCTGGAGTGAGTGTGTGTATTTGTCTGTGTTTGTGTGTACCCTTTGATGGACTGGCATTCAAAAGGATGGATGGATGCATACTAGGTGGTTAATCACAGACTATTCAAAGCATTGAAAATATTTTTTTATGCATCTTTCAAGATTTTTTTCCTGACATTTTGGTCTGTTTAAGGTTATTCTTCCTGTACGAGATGGGATCAGCGTTATTAGAAGAGTTGCTTTAGGATCATCCAAAGAGAAAACTGAGGTAAGAAGCAGCACTTTAACAGTTGGGGATATTTTGAACCACAAGACATTAATTTGTTTATTGTGTGTTTCATTGTGTCATTACTGGTCTTTGTATAATTTTGTATAATATAATATGTTACATACAGTTTATGTCTTGGGAATGATTGACAGCTTTGTGATTTTTGGAATTAATGATGAGTGCTAAGAATTTAAAATGTACTACTGTGCAGAAAGACCTGTATTTTATGTGCATGAGTATTGTAATACTATACTTTAATGGCTATGAGAATAGGAACAGGGGTACTTTTTCCATTAACAATTGAATTGTTAATGACTTTAAAAGGTTTAAATTGTAACAGACACTGACACTTAGATAAGCCAGTAATACTTCAATCTGTTCACTGCTGTTGCAAGTGCATTTTATGCCTTACATTATATGCTTCTAAATCTTCTATGAAAAATTTAAACATGCTAATGACATTATTAATGCTCATGTCTTTCTCTGCAAGTGTCTTTAAATTCACCGTTCCTTCACAGAATACCATTTCTTGGTCAGTGAGCCTCAACACTGATCTTTAATATCTGATTTTCCCTCACACGGTCCTTTCAGATAGTTTTCTACTTAAAATGTGTGTTCCTTTTTCAATTACCACTTGGTGAGTGCTTTCCTTTTCAGGTGTAATATATTGTAATATTAAGATTTCAGTGAGCAGAAATGGGGTCAAATTCTTGGCGGGCAATTAATGCACTTCACCAGTATTCTTCACAAATGTTTACTGTTGCACTAAATTCCTGTGACTAAATTCCTGTGATTTGCCAAATGAATTTTCTCATCGAGAAACCAGCTTCAGGGATTTGATAACTGGTGGCTTGAATCTTTTTGGAAGCCAATTAAAAGTCAATGAAATAGGGTTGTTTCTTTTGGAATTGTACTATTAAGTAGTTTTTCAGAAAAGGATCGGTAAGGCTCTCTGAATTCTGCGGTGCCTGGACCTGTGGTCAGACTGTTGTAAGCCCAGGTGCAAGTTTGAGTGTACCCTGGGCTCAGATGACTACACTTCTAAGCCACATGCGTTTTTTACCATAGGATGGGATCTTGAGAGACGAGGTTTTTTTTGGCAAGAATGGGAAAAGTATTCTGCAGCGCCTGAGGCTGGATGGGAAGGCTGCGTACGTGACAGGGGGTGGCCAGGGCATTGGAAGAGCCATGGCACACGCGCTGGGCGAAGCAGGGGCAAAGGTCGCTGTAGTGGACATCGTCAAGGAAAAGGCAGAGAGTGTGGTCAGTGAGCTTACTGTGAAAGGTAATTTGCCCCTCAAAATGACAGTGTGCCTTACATTTAATAAGTCTGGGCCTACGTCCTTTCAAAACAAAACTAAACTTGTTAATTTCTTATCTGAATCCTAATAAAATCTGCCCGGAGAACTTTGTGTCCTCTGAACCACATTCTCCTGTTCTCTGAAAATGCTGTACTTGGGTAGTTTCATATTCAAAGGGCCCAACAGTCCAGAGCTTATCCTGGGATTTCCATGGCGTTAAGCAAAAGAAGAGCACATGACTACCCCCATAGATGGGAGGCCAGTCCATCACAAGACTGCTGTTTCCCATTCCTACAGCTGGGTGGGCTGTAACAGCTGGGGTAAAGTTACAACAATCCACCAGCAACCGTTCCTGGTTCCAGAGGCATATTTTTATGCTATGCTGCCCCTGAAAATGCTGTACTGAAAATAAAATATATAGAATTAAAACCATAAATTGTTTGGTTTTAAAGAACCGGCTAGTACGAAAAATGTTCCTTCTTAGAATCAAGAGTGAGCATGGTTGTTTTTGTGCAGAAAGGAAAGTTCAGGAGCTTATTCTTGTTACACTGACACTAAATTAAAGGATGAATGGCACTGTTCATTCAGTCCCTTTAAAGAACCGTGAAGATGAAAACCAGAGGTACTGTAATTTGTAAAACAAGCAAGTTCTCTTTTTCATAATTAGCATTTTTGGACATTGACAGTGATTGTATGTAGGATATTTAAAACTGAGTGTAACAGAAAATTTCTGTGCTGAGCTGTGAAATTTTTAATGTCAAACACGTTTCAAGAAGAGAGTTTTGGTTTAGTGACATCCGATTGTCAAACAAAATGACTAACGGTAGTTCAGTATTTCACCAGCAGGGGGAACTGCAAGCTACAGTTTGAGCCGCAGACTCAGAGATTTCAGAACCTCTGAAAGTTACAGAGCATACAATGTACGGTACATACTCTCTCTTGTTGATATTAACGCAATTATAACTTCCTAGTTTCAGAATTGAAATTCTGCCAAACTAGTTATTATATATGTTATGTGAGGGGGGACTCCAAAATTAAAATTGTTTTCAATGTTATTATTGATGGTTACCGCTGAACTTTATTCAGATATACAGGCAGTGCATTTTTAATTCTAAAACATTTTTTTTCCAGGAATACAATCAGTAGCTGTTACTGCTGACATTAGCAAGCCAGAAGATGTTCAGCGAATGATTGAAACTATTGCATCAAAATGGGGAACAATTCACATAGCATGCAATAACGCTGGAATAAATATGAATTCAGACAGTGAAGACACATCTTTAGAAGAATGGGACCAGACTTTCAACATAAATTTAAGGGGCACTTTCCTTTGTTGTCAAGTACGTAACTTAAGACGGGTCAAACTGTACATGCTCAAGATGCCAGCTAACAACGTATTATTTTTGGTGTAACCAATGCCCCTTTGCCAAATGAATGATAAAGTACACTGTAAAACATATAAACTTTAATCTTTAAATATTTTAAAGCTTTATTTCTTATTTTTTCTGGAAATTACAGGCTAAAAATAGGATTTGTTCTCCAAAACACCTCTTTTTCTCTTTCACTCCTGTATATCTCTGTGTAATTTGTTATCATGTCAATATTAGCGTGTTCATAAAAGACTCATTTGTCTTTCTGTAATTCCTGTCACAGGCTGCAGGTCGTATTATGCTGAAGCAAGGATATGGGAAGATAATTAACACAGCATCCATGGCTAGCTTAATAGGTGAGTGATGAGTCTCCTGTATTATTATTTTCACTCTTTATCTCCAAATTTTTAATTTCAATTTTCAGAGCGATGTAAGCTGTATTTACGTTATTAAACCTCAATGTGATATAGGAGAGATAACCTTAACTGCAGTGATTGTCCTATAGAAGCAAAGAAGTTAGGGCTTTAGTTCCCATTAGATGGGATCGGCTAACTTCAATGGCTAGCATAATTTGCACAAGCCATACATATTACTGTATCACACATTTTAACTTTTGAAGGCTTTCATTTTTATTTGCATTATTTTTTTGCATATGAGGCCTGTTTTTCCATAATGTTTGCGTGAACCAATGTATAGGTTCAAGTACCTTCTGTATTTTTAAATGCACACACTCAAAGAGCAATGCACAGTACTTCACCTTGCATATAGTACATGTGTTAATGTCAGGATTACTATAATGTACAGTAGTGCACAGTGTAGAGGTTGCAGTCCCAGGCACCACCAAGCATATGACCTGCACAACCAGACAGGCTTCAAACCGATTATGTCAAGAGGCCAGTCTTTAATCCATGGGTCTTAGACTTTTAGACACTCTCACCTGCCAAACTTTGCAGCACAGTAGAATATTAACCTCCATCGATGCCCTAATTATCTCATCTTACTTTTTGAGACCTGTTACAGAAGACCTGGATATGACCCTTAAGAAGCAGTTAGTCCATCTAAAACTCCTGTGGAGCTAAAATCCCATTTTCCTTGCTTTAGTAGCCCTATGATCAATCAGTTTCTTTAAAGCACAGACAGTTCTCATTTTTATTTTCATTTATAGTGTACTACAGAAAATTGTGATTCATTCTGCTAAAACAGAAACATTTTTTTTCTATATAATATGTAAACTGAAAACTTGAGTTCAGGATTAAAAGTAGGCGTCTGTACTGCCAAAAACATTTTTAGCTGTTGAAATTGACAGCAATGTTGTGTTTTTACTGAGTGTGCTGTAAAACAGGAATTATTCATTGAGCAATGTAATTTTTCCAACAGGTTCCTATATAAGAACAGCACCACTTCATCAGCAATATAGTCAAATAGCCAATAAACTTTTGGACCATATGGGCAGGAGTCCCAACTGCTGAGCTAATCTGTAAAGCAGTAACATGCTGGTAAATAGAGGCCAATGTAAAAAAGTGATCAATTACACACATTAAGCAGAGTCCTTCAGGAATTTACTTTATTGGTCTGGACATCTGTTATAATATTGTCATAATGTAGAATCAGATGGTGCTGGGTTTTGCCAAGTTAGGTAAGAAAATGTAGCAATGAAAGTCCAATTAAAATGCAGAATGGCAGTGTTATATCCATCTGCTAGACAAAATAAAATCTGTATTTGTTCTTATGCAAAAGAATAAAAGTGCTTGTTTCCTTTTTTACTGTGAAAGGGAACATCATTCAGTCCTTATTTAGGATACTATGATTTTGTGATGTCACCTATAGATGAATAAGAATATTATTAAGAATATTCAGTTGAATCAATAAGATATTCATATCTTCACAATTCCATAGCTTACTAGGAAACAGTATGTCACCACTAGTAATGTAAATCTTGGTTCTAAAATATCTTTACATAAAACCATAGTGATCTAAATATTTCATAAAATTAAATAACGACAAAATGAGTCTAAGCTCATCTAAGCTCCTAAGTTTTGGAAAAAAATGAACTGACTTTACATATGGCAAAACGTTTTTAAATTGGATAAGATACCCATAAAATAAATAAACACCATGGTGTTGGTATGTAGGAATTTCAAATGTACACAAGTGCCTGTATTTTCAAATGTGCACTTGAGGAACAAAACATCATAGGTTTTATTTGTCAGATAAAGTCATTTGAACAGCACTGAGGATTCTGTATTGTGCTTACTTCTGAAGGGATGATCACCTTTTGGCATTTTTAGCTGCAATGCTTCCTCTGTGCTAAATAGAATTTCGTTCTGAATCAGATTGGAAGCCTGTACAGTAGCTAAACACCTCCTCCAGCTCTGATACCTGAGCTTGGCTGGCTTCAGATTGCATACGCTAGAGAAGTAAATATGAAATCACAATTCTGAAGAATTTGGTATTATTTGATTAAAAATTAAGTAAACTGTATACTTTCTTAGAGTGACTCCCAAGGAGTACACTGTGAGTTTCAAAACATTGTCATATTTATCATTCATGTGTGAATCGAGGCAACTTGACAGTAGCTGGGTGAGAAGGTTAACTGCAGAAGTTGTATATAACTTGGAACCTGCGTGTAATAATTAATCATCTGATAGAAAGTGGACCCATCCCTCGTCTCTCATGCAGTGTACAACATCTGTGATGGTCAAGGCAGCAAATGGTGTGCTTTGTTACTAAAGGCCATGAGTAGCTAAACATCTGATTCATTCGGTACAGTTTTATCATGGAGCCCACTGTGCCTATTAAATATTATTCATTAACATTCAGTACAAATTATGCAGTGTTGGAAACAGAGGTATGTCAAAAGGAATAATACACCAGCGACAATTTCAAATTGTATGGGTCTAAAATTATGCCATTATTCCCATGATTTTAGAATACTTTTCATATAAACATTGCAACGAGATTGAAGAACATTTCTAGCAACATTTGTACAACACTTCTGTAGGTCAGGTTTTAAATACCCAAGTGGACATGGAGAAACGTGATTCTGTTGCCCTCTGGGAAAACAGCACATACAGTACATTGTTCAGTTTAGGCAAGTATCAGAACAGACTAAAAGAGTTGTTGCCAAACAACTTGGCCCTGATCCCAAAAGATTAAAATAGTGTAAAATAAGAACTGTAGAATTTAATCTATTCGAAATGCAGGTTAAAAATCCAGAGCGTTTGTTCTTCTGACAGTAGCACTGTTCTTCAGATTCATTCATATTTAAACACATTCTGAGTAACCTCATCTTCATGCAGTCCCTCATCCTCAGAATCAGTTGGCATATAACACATCAAAAGCTGGTGTGGTAAAACTGACACAGACACTCGGCACTGAATGGATCAGCAGAGGAGTCCGCGTCAACTGTCTCTCCCCGTAAGTATTGCTGAGGCTTCTGTAGCCGTAACCAAAATAGCTCCTGAATACCACTGTCCTCATGTTAAAACCTGAAACTGCACAACTGTAGCTGGGCATTTTATTGTTTAAGCATCCTCTCTGTCTCCGCGTGCTTCCTCTGTCTGCCTATGGATCTGTCTCTCTATTTCTAAATAGACGGAAGTGAAATGTACAGTATGAGCAATTTTGCTGCAGTGTTTAATTAATGATTAATTTATGTGAGTATTGCGAATGAAAGAATCACAGTTATGTTTACATGATGCTTGATTATAAGTTTCGTTTTGTCCAAATTTCTTATCCCTGACCCTGAACTCGCATTCAGTTGGTATCTATTGCTTAACAATGAAATGTGAAGTTAACACATTTTGCTAATTTAAGTAACATTAACTCACTGTCAACATAAACAGAATGTCATTGTTGATAACTGGTTTGCTTAATACCATCCACATCTCTGCATATATTTTAACTGTTTTTAACTGCATTTACTACAATACAATAAGTCAATTATTTGTTTCAAGGATTCTCCAGTATGTATAAGTTCTCTTTTTCTTTTTATGGACTGTCACTTCTACTGAACATTGCACAGTATACAGTATATGCCAGGTCAATAATTTCGAATTAATTAATTTCCAAATTCGAAATGTTGGAGTTCAGCAAAACACATGCATTCCGTGTTGACAGGTGAAAAGGATAACTGAGTGTTGATGTAACTCTCAGACAGAAATTTAATTGAACAAGCTCTGCATTTGATTGGACCAAAAGGGTTCATCCTTAGTAGAAGTGGAGAGGTGTTTGTAAAGTGAGCGGCTTGCAACTGTAAGTGAAATAAATTATTTGTTAACATAGTGCCAATTAAAGGTCTTAGACAATACAGTTGCTTAATTAAATGTCATCTTGAGGGATGTATTAACTAAGAGTTGTTTTAATTGTTTTATTCAATTAGAGTCGAATTAGCATCTTAACTGTTAGTGTCACACGAGTGGTGGGGTGTTGTTTGCATCTGCTTGTCTATTAAACCTCTATAGTAAAACAAAATTGAAAAAGACAATCCTGCCTCAACAGACCCGTGCAGTTCCCCATAGTTACAGAGGCAGATCTTCACAATTTACTTGGGGAAAATAAATTAGGGGCAAGCTGAAGTAATGGAACAAAGCACCGTTCAGACACTTTGTTCATTTTTTATTTATCTCGAGCTTGTTTGCTAATTTTAATTTGCAAGAAGCAATTCTTTCTGCTAACTGGGTGCCTCAATGGGCTGCTGATTTCTTTGAAGTGACAGTCAGTAAATATGCATAAAAAAGGGATGCAATTAGAGACAGTGTGGTTTGCTGCAGCCTGATTTCATTGGCAACTTTTACCCACCAGTGTTGATAAGCTACATTATCTAAAAAATTGGCTGCTGAAAAACAGCACCTCTGATTGCTAGGAAAGGTTCCAGATAACAGGGTGCTGAAGAGAAATATAATTGAGGTTGAATATGTTAACCAAGGTGTCACATGTTCCTTGGAAGCATTAATTTATCAGAATGTTAGGATTTTTATTAACACGAGCAATACATTTCTGACACCGTAATGAAGAGGAGTCAGTGGGTTAGGTTTTGTTCACTGTCATGTTTCTGAAGTTTTAAAGCGATTTCTCATTAGACACAGTTGTGTAAATATGTTTGTACAAAGGTTGAACAAATTATGCATTTCATGAAGTGCAGAAACATCACTGTTGTCCTTGGAGCCTGTGACTAATCAAGAGCTGCACATCAGGACAGTCTGCAAGTGGAAAATGCATTTTTTCAGCTTTGACTGCTGTACAGTACCTATTTCATGCAGTGTGAGGAAAAGAATTACTGTCAACCTTTTGACTTGAACTGAAGCAAATAACAACTGTGGACCTGCACCTGTTGTAAGGAACGCGAGTGCAAAATGAAGTTCAGTGCTTTATTTAAATACTGATCCTGTGCAGCATCATCACTTTATATACTGTAGAGTAATATAGACAGAGTTCAAAATCCTTTGAACAAAAAAAAAACTCCAGGCTCATACTGCAACAGATTTCAGTCAAAGCAAAAAAAATAAATACAGGTTTCTTGGAAAGATTGCAAATGTGCCTCAGTTTATCTAAAATTCCTTTGAGGGTCAAATAGCATTTGGCTTGAAATAGATGAATTGGCCATTATGGCTCATGTGCCTGCTATAAATATTTGTTGAGCGCATTAAGAGGAAATGCTGCCGTGTGCCCTTGCGCTGTGAAGGATAATTGGTTTTATTTTTGTCCCCAAAAACGACTGTCTGAATTGAAACTGTCACTCCTAAGTTTGATTGTTTTCTTCTTTTTCCAGAGGCATTGTTGACACTCCTCTCATCCGCTCTGAAAGTCTGAAGCCTCTTGTGCAGTGCTGGCTGACAGATATCCCTGCTGGGCGGCTGGCTCAAGTGACAGACTTGCAAGCTGCAGTGGTTTACTTGGCATCTGAGGCTTCTGATTACATGACAGGGCATAACTTAGTCATAGAAGGTGGTCAAAGTTTGTGGTAGAAAGTAACTTTTTATTCTTTTAGATCCGTAAAGTGGATGTGCTTTAGAGCTAATACAGTAGTGACTCGGGTGTATGGGGGAGTTTAGAACAGCTGAATTTAGCAATATTTTACTTCTGGGTGTGGGAAATGTGGACTCATAAAGTAAATGATGCAGTTTGCTTTTTTATTTAAAAAAAGCCATTTTGGAAAAAAATAATTCTTGTATATAATAAACAATACTTTCCTTCATAGTCTAATCTTTGTTTTAAGAATCAGGAAACACCGTGAACTAATAATACTCATACTTGCAAATAATGGAACAATTGTACACTGTTGTAAACATTTTCAGGAAATGTAGCATGAACACATTTACATTTTTCTTACCAATAACATCATAATGTGTATAACAATTGAGTTCTGGATGGACTTGGTGAAAAACAGGCTTGAGGTTAACACTTCATCCAGAGAGATACCCACCAACACAAACACAGGGAGAACATGCGAACTCCGCACAGACAGCACCCCAGGAATTGAACCTGGGGCCCCAGCACTACAAGGCACCAATGCTAACCACTGCTCCACCAGGCCACCCTTTAACACACCAGTAAATGCATCATGTTCATTTTTCTGATGTGGGACAGACTAGGTTACAACTATTGAGCTGTGAGTCATTTTCTTGGTCCCTGCTACCAATGTTCCAAGCTTTAGCAGCTGCCTTTGTCAAATTCTTTTTAGGAGCAATAGAATCAAGCTGAGATAAATTAAAGAGTGTGGTGTGAAAAAAATAGAGCGGGGACTTTAATTGCAGTGAAAACTGTGTTACAAAGACATTTTCATTCATCTTTCCCCCAAACTTTGGTAGAAAGGAATTATTTTAAAAAGAGATGATTCATACTCATTTTCATTTATATAACAATAATATATAATGTTGTAACAATATATTACATTAATTTTCCTCTAAGCTATATCTCTCTTTTCATAGAAAGACATTAACCATGTGTATTGTTATTTAGACTGTATAAACAACAAAATGTTATTTTATTTGCTGCTGCCTGAAGAACAAATGAAGGATAAGTCAAAATGAGAACTATGTGGCACACCAGGGTGGCACAAATATGCTGTGATACACAAGTAATATAAACACAATGGGAAAGTTTGAGAATATCGTGGGACCCATGCTCCTCAGTTTGGATAATCATTGGTGCATTATTGTTTTGAACCCTTTCCAGAGGTTTTTATGAGCAAGTTTTTACAGAGCACGTTTTATGTGGCTTGGCGTGTCTGTGCATGCAGAATGAGAGAAATTCAGCACTACATTGAATGGAGATTTCCTGTATCCAAACCACCATAATTTGGCAACACCGCTGTTTTCGAACCCTGTACAAGCCCCCCCACTTCTCCCTTAAGTTAATTATATCAGTGTTTACCCGCGCAGCTCAAGTGATGGTAGAGGCAAGCTCGGTACCCAACTACATGGTCTACGTGCTGTCTGGGATGTGACCAGTTTTACCCTTTTATTTTTGGGAGAGGGAATGGGATAAACTGAACTTAATTTTATTGACTGTTGTAGCTTTCCCCCCCCCCTGAACAGTCGTTGTTTTACATAATGGGCTTCACAATTTCTGCAAATCTAAGTGGTGCTTACATGTCATAATTGCAATCTGCTCTGTTTATATAGTAAAAAAAATGCATTTTACTTGAAAGAAAGGTTAACTAAGAGCCTGGTCTAGGTGATTGCAATTATTTCAAAGCAGTAGCAAATTATGAGATGATAATTCTTATTATGCACCAAATAAAGCTATGAGTCATCATGATTCCAGTCAGATACATATTCAGATTCTTAGCTTCCCTGAGAGGCCCCCAATACAGTTGGCATAAATGTTTCTAAGTGGACAGATTAATGGTAACAATAGCAAAGTATATTTTTGAGTGGACAGCATGTGATGTCATAGGTGTGCCAATGTGATGGTGTCATGGCTTTAATTGTATTAATTTGGCTGTCAAAAGCTTTGCCTAACATTTAACTACTGAAATTCGGTACAGAAAGTAATCAACACAATACACCACATAATAGCAAAAGCATTTAATCATCCAAGTAATAAAATGGTTACCCCCCACCTCAAGCACCCCTTACATCCATTTTTCTCCATGTCCATTTCTCCTTGGTTGTGTGCCTTTGGGAATCTCATACTACCAGATAAGGAGAGGAAAATCACCTAGAATATAGTGCACTGTTTTTGATTGTGATTTGAAAAAAAATATTCATTCAAATCACAATCAAATTTGATTTGAATATATATATATATTGAGAAACAATAATAACTAAAATATTTCCCTTTAATTTT